AATCTGATTAATCTTAAAATTTAAAATATTCTATTATCAAAATATTCTTATCATTAATGTACGTAAATTGAACACGAAAAATACTTATTATTTCTCTTTAATATTTGATTCGCAAAATTTTAAAACTATTTATTTAAAAATTTAGTTAGTTTCTTAGTTTACTTTAATTTCATTTAATTTATCTATCCATTTTATTTATTAATTTTTATTTTTATTCTCCCTAATTAAAATATTTTTATTTTCATTTAATACATTTTAAATCATGTTTGTTTCTTTTTATATTTATTTTAGTGCAAAAAGTAAAGGTGTTAATGAAATATAAATTGATTTAATAAATGGGTCCCACCATTTTTAGATTGTACGGCTACTTATGATATTTTTTATGCTTTTCATGATAGAAAGTACACGTGGCTATCATAATAATAGCAATTTGGTTGGGTATTTGGGAAATTCAATAATTTTCCTACAGAAAGTACAATTGTTTTAAGCTGATAATTTTGGTAAAATGACAAAAGTGCCCCTGGTCGTCTTCACTCTTCTATATAATAGAAAAATAGATAGAAATATAAAGTTGAACAAGTAGACAAACATGTCCTACGAGACATAATTCACGTAATACGTCACAAAATTTTGCAGCAGAAAGTACAATTGTTTTAAGCTGATAGTTTTGGTAAAATGACAAAAGTGCCCTTGGTCGTCCTGGTCGTCTTCACTCTTCTATATAATACGTAGGACGTCAAGTAGGACACATGTGTCTACTTGTTCATTTCTATACAAATTTTTGTGTCTACTATGCACATCCAAAATTGGAGGACACTGATGTCAAATGAAACCAAATTAAATGACATATTTATGTATTATGCATTTTAGAAAAATATATTTATATTTTTATATAAAATTTAACCAAACACGACTTTAATTATACATTTTTTTAATGAAATAAAAAGTATATTTTCATGACCGAACCAGATTAAGAAAGAAAATGATTAAAAGGCCTCGAATTTAAATTTTGAATATGAAAAAAAATCTCATTAAAAGTAGTAAGTACATTCAAATATAAATATGAACTCAAATTAATTATTTTTTTTTTTTAAAAAAAAAATGTGTGGTCTTGAATGCATAGACTTTTGAAGTGAGTAAAAAATGGGGTCCATGTTTTAACTTTGCATTAATTTCTTTTACTCCTCCCAATGTGTTGTACACGTGTAACAATGGAAATCAACAACTTAATGGTGGATAAAGCGGGAATTACATAACTTTTGGCTGGTTTTTTTTGGAATGTTCAATACTCTCAATGCAAAATGTACAATTAAATTAAGCTTGAAATTTTATTAAAATTGACAAAAGTACCCTTGGTCGTCCTGGTCGTCTTCACCTTTCTATATAATAGAAATAATAATATATTTATTTGAAAAATTGAAGCATTTTTTGACCCATTAAATAACAATAAGAGCATTTTTAGACCAAAGTATTGACGGCAAGGGCATTTTTGGACCAAACTACAAACGGAGGGCATTTTTGTTCCTTTCGCATAGTTTAAGGGAATTTTAATACCAAAGTATTAACAGTAAGGGAATTTTTGAGCCAAACTATAAACGAAGGGCGTTTTTGTTCCTTTTATATAGTTTAAGGGCATTTTTGACCCTTCTCCCTTTTATAAATACCCCAAAAACTTCATGGAAAAATATTTCAAATTGGAAAATATTTCCATGGAAAATTAGTGTGAAAGAAAATGTTTTTTTCATTGAAAATGAAAATTCCATGGAAAATGTTTTTCATGGAAAATAATTTCCTGGAATATGTTTTTCGGGAAAACAAGTAGATTTTTGACTTATTTTCTCATGTTTGGTTGGTGAGTAGAAAATATTTTTCTAAAAATACTTTTTAGGGTTTGGTTTTTGAATGAGATACATTTTTTCATAAAATATCTTTTATTTTTTACTAGAGAATAGAAAATATTCTTTAGAAAAATAATTTCTGACCTTGATAATTGATCTAGGACATGACCCCAACACGTGAACTAATTCTTTATTTTTTTTTAAAGAAAATTGAATTTTTCTTTTAAAAACAAACTTCTTTTTTTTTTGGAGGGGGGCGGGGGGAATATCTTTTGCCCAAAAGAGGGTGAGGGTGGGGTAGAAAAATAAAAATCGAAAATATTTTTAAAAACAAAATTTTAAATTATATTTTTTGGGGTGCGGGGCTGGTAGGGGGTTGGGGTAGGTGTGGGTAAAAGAAAATGAAAATTTTAATTTTTTTTTCAAAACCAAACTTTTTTTTTGTGGAGGGGGTAGGGGTAGTCAGGGATTGGGTGAGGTAAAAAAAAAACCAGTTTTAAACTTTGAACTATTTCTTGTTATTTAAGTCAACTAAACAAGAAAAAAATAAAAAATATTTTTCTTCGTACCAAACACACCGGCAACAAAAGTCCTAACATGTGATTTGAAAGTAACAAGTGCTTGCATTTTCTTATTCATCAGATATTTCCTACTTCCAATTCAACTTTGGAAAATTATCTTGGAATTGTATTTTTCTATTCATCAGTGTGTGTACAAGAAGAATAGTTAGCTATATATATAAACACAAAAAATAGCTAATCACCATTAACAAACTAGCTAACTGCCAAACTAACTATTACTAATTGGGATAAAGATCCGGTCAAGTATAATTAGGTCAAGTAATATTCAATAGCCTTATAGATTCATGCCATGTGTACTCTATGATAATTTATAGTTGAGATCCATTTAAATTATATACTCATCTTAATAATAAAAACAACAACGTTGTCAATTATTTTTATTTTTTAAAACTATCAAATAAAGCAATTAAATGTACCCAAACTAATATTTTCAAGATAAAAAATTAAGATTGACGGGTATGCGCAGATTGAGAGTTGACGATAGGACTCAATTTGATAATGCAAATACATTCAATCAGGTATATTAAATTTTCTTCTTCAATCTTAATTTTTTTCTTGACCGGACCTAATTATACTTGACCGGACCTAATCAGCTTGTTACCTATATATATGTGTCCATAGTTGAGGTTGTATAAAGTAAAATAAATAGAGC